CCCCAAAACCCCAAAACCCCAAAACCCCAAAACCCCAAAACCCCTTATTTTAAAATTTTAATTGAAATTAGTATATCTCTGACTTATTTAAAACCTTTTTTATTAGGATTCCTCCCATAGGAACCATTCTTGGTGTACTTCTGCTTCTTCTCACTAGGAGTTAAGTGGATTTTGTAAGTCTGCCGAGGAGACTGTCCGATCAGAGGATTCTGACGAGGCTGTAAATGTCTCTTACAACCTGGCCCTGAGTTAGTCCTCTTTATGTAATTCTGAACAGAGGTGCTACTCTTTCCTCGTACAACAATATAGTCTTGGGGATTTTTCCCAATAGAGTAATCATATTTGTGATAAACAGTATTTTCATTCCCTTTCATAGCAGTGCTGTTATAATTACGCTGGGTTACAAATAACCGAGGATCCATTTTCTGATTTTGGGAATCTTTGTTCGCTCTTTCTTCATATGAACTATGTCTTTTAGGTGGAACTCTTTCAAATATCCTCTCTTTAGATCAGTTCTTCTTATGGAGGACATTGTAGACCTGCTTGACTCGTTGTTTCTGCTTAGAGTCCTTACTCTTATTCTAAAATTAGTTCATATCCTTACCATTAATACTTGCTTTGGGATCATTAAAGATTTCTTCTGCTCATATTTCTTATTGACATATTTCTTCCTCACCTGAGCATGTGAGTTCAAGTTTGAGTAATCCTGGTTCTGGATCAACACAGTTTTGTTAAACTAGGCTGGGTTAGAGCAAATTGTTGGGAAATTGATAAGATTTAATAGAATTCTCAGGAAATTTCTTACGTCAAAACATCCCTTTTGCTTATCTCTTATTTGCTGTTTGTATGCCACCTCGTTGTTCTTATTAATCCGAGCATTCTGGCTCAGATTCTGTGCATCTCTTGCATTCACATTTGAAGGAAGGAAAGTAGCCTTTTTCTTGTACAAAGTCATTGTAGAATTCAGCTTTGATTTGGAACCTTTGTTTGGTTTTGAATGCTTCATTATTTTGTCTTTAATTATTATCAAAAATAGAGTACCAATTGAAACATCATTGATAGTATTCCAGTTCTGTTTGTTGATCTTTTTCCGGTTATTTTGAGAAATAGATTTCACTTTGATTTTCTGAGTCATGTTCATCTTTTGAACCTCACTGAATGGAGCATACTTATCTAAAAATTCAGATTTAGGACCAGATCAAAGCCTATTCAGCTTTAAAATGATATGAAATTAGTTAAATTAAAAATATATTTGGGAAAATGTCCTTAGAAGCTAATTCTGCTGATTTGAAAGTTGAATAATTGAGATTGAGTAATCACAATAATTCCCCCAAGAATATGCATATCTCTTTTCCAGATTACTTACCTTTTTCACTACTTCTGTTAAGATCTTTACTTGACCCCTCTTTAGCCTTCCGCTTAGCCTTAGATGCATAACTTGTTGTGTATGGTGAATCCTTAACTCGTCTTTCCTGATTCTTTAAAGAAGCTAGTTTGACAAGGTGAGATACAGGAATGGTCTGATTTTTTCTAAACAAATTATGCATAAAGTGTACTCAGTCCTCTTTTTGAACGAAGCGATTGACCTATCGTCCTTTCCACTCGAGTCTACTGACTTAGAAAGGACAGAGAAGTTGTTCATGTTGCTTTTCCGAGACTCCTTGCTGTTGTTCTTCGCATGCTTATATTCACGAGAGTCTTTTCTAAGTTTTGAATTTCTTTGAAAATTATTCCTGATCATATAATCCTTAGCACCTCTTTTAGCAGCAGACTATGAAGATGAGCTCCTGTTCTTACCTTTGATGCAGAGTCTGATCTGGGCTTTGAGTTCCGAGCAGTTGAACCTAATATTCAGACTGAGAACATACCATTATGAGCTATTTGAGAATTCTGTCGATTTGAAGTATTTATCTCAAAACTTCTGTAATCATATTTCTTGGATTTCTTATTTGTAACTGAAAAGTAGTTCTTTTTCTTAGCTTTCTTCGTCTCTATTTCAAAAATGGTCTTCTTGTTCTTCGGATCTATGTCATATCTTTCAGGAGAGGGGGATTCATCATCTCTGTTGTGATCTCTACTAGAGATAATTATTTCTTCATCTTCATATCCTTGTGAGGTATTTACTTTCTTTTTCTTTTGAAGTCTCCTGCTTTTATTTCAAGCATCTACACTTTCGTTTCGATCTTTGATTTTCTTCTTTCTGTTCTGCATTTGAGGAGGAGAGTTTTCTTGGGGAGTCTCAATCGGACCTTCTGGGATTTTGATAGGCCTTAGAGCTAATTTATTGAATTCCTTCTGTTTTGATTCAGAACCCTCATTTTCTTTATGAACTTCATCAGTTATCTTCTTTTGGTTTGGTTTGTTTTTGATCTCAGAAGTTTTATCCTTAGATTTGCCAAGGTCTTTTAAGAGATTCATAAGCTGTTGTTTTTCGTTTCGAATTACATCGTCAAACTTTCTACCATTCTTCAATTGCTCTGCTACAACTTCTCTCTTCTTGTTCTTAATGATCAAATAATATGTGCTCGTTATTGAGTTGTGGCGGTTAAGTTCTACTCATTTAATAGCATATTCTTTATCAATGCCGTATTCTTCAAGAAGATCAATTACTTCCAGATTTATGGGTACGGGCTTGATATTTGTGTTAACTCCTCCACTTGTTTGAGAATTTTGGTACTCTTCCATATCTGAATTTAAAATCTCTCCGTTTAGAGAGGTTAAAGGCCAAGGAAATGTATTAACTTTGACAAACCATGGATGTTCCATTATTTCTCCTATAGTGTATCTCTCATCTGGATTAGTATTTAAGATTTTTGTTATAAGATCTCGTACTGAACTTGAAACATATTTGGGGATTTTGTAGTCAGCACTCAAGATCTTTTTATATAATTTCTTAGTGACTGGGTCTTCGAATGGAAGGTACCCACATACCATTGCGTATAAGACAATCCCGACACTCCATACATCAACCTTATCTCCATGGTAACTTTGTCCTGCTATCATTTCAGGTGCTGCATAGCATGGTGAACCACAAGCAGTTTTGAGGGTATCTCTGCCTTTAACTTCATAGACATTTGAAAGTCCAAAATCAACTATCTTCAAATCTCTGTTGAGGTCAAGAAGCAAATTTTCAGGCTTTAAATCTCTACAGGATTACCAGCCATTTCTTACCTGTGGCAGATATTTAAACTATGGATATACTTCATACCAAAAATGAGGCTTCTAAAGAACTTGCAAGCAAGGTCTTCGCTCAGTCGATGTCTGTCGACTATCAAATCGAACAATTCTCCTCCTTCAGCATACTCCATTATGAGATAAAGCTGATTCTGGGTTTCCACGATCTCATAGAGCTGAATGACACTAGGATGTCTTACAGATTTGAGTATCTTTATTTCACGGATTATTCTTTGGACATCGTTATTGTCCTTAATCTTTTCTTTTTCTAAAATTTTGACAGCAACCTTTTCTCCAGTGATGATGTGGGTTCCTGATCGGACTTTCCCAAAAGTTCCCTGTCCTATAGCTCTTCCAAGGATATAGGAATCAATGTTATTTTTCAGTCTTCGGTTGCTCTATATCCTTGTTTCTTCCCTTTGCAATGTAGCTTTCTTGACTTGAATCTGATTTAAGGGTTTGACCTTCCACAGAAACTGTGCTGACTATGTTTTTAAGTAAGATATTGTTTATTTTGCAAAAATTAGACAAATTTTAATAAAATATTTCGATTTTTCTAAAAATCCATAATTCTATCTCAACCAAGCCCAAAATGAATCTGATCTCCCCAGATCTCAATCTAATCGCATAAATCAAAATTACCGACCCTCACTCCCCCACAAATCCCTAAAAACACCCCCTAAAACACCCTCTCAAACCCCCTCAAAACCTCCTCCCTCCTCCCCTCTTACTCTGGTCATCATTCTCTCCTTCTTCCATAACCTGTCTTTATAATATTTAATTGAAAATCTACTGTGTTTTCTTAAATTGGGGTTTTGGGGTTTTGGGGTTTTGGGGTTTTGGGG